CTTTTCTGCATCACTGTGTGTTCCCAGAACTTGTGAGAAAACGATCTTTTTCCCCTGGATTAGTCACGGTGTTTTGACAAACCTGGCCTTGTTTCCTCATGAAATGTATCGGCACCACTGTGTTTATTTCTCCAGTCTTAACCAGCAGGAGGATGGGGGAGTCCAGCTGAACATTTAGATGAAAAAATCTGGTGAAATTAGAGTTTTTACAAAGTTCAGTGTGGTGCTCTTCATGAGTATTGCAGTGCCTGACCAGTGTTTATCCTGTAAAAACTCCAAGGGACAGGCGGGAGCTGTGAGCTCAGCGTGGCTTTGATCCAGTCATCAACTGCCCAAAGGACTTCCAAACATTCTGAGCTCAAGGAACAGTTTGTGAGGAGCAGGAGAGGGGCACAGTCATTCCCAGCAGCTTGAATTCCACTTGGAGGGACTACAAGGAGAAAGCTCTTCCACCCCTGGGGAAGGGGAGGGAGGTTGTGTGATCAAACACATCAACAACCCCGTCCCAGAGAGGGAGTGACCGTGGCTGTGCTCACCATTCCTGTGTTCCACTGGGAAAATGGATCAGAAATGCTGGAATGGGCACTAATGTTCAGTGGTTTTCCTGTAGATTGAGAGTTTGTAGGAGAAAAAGCGAATGAAAATTGGGAAAGTTTCATGTCTAAATGTCTGTTTAATGTCTAAATGGTGGTTCTGGCTTGGCAAACGAGCCTTGGGTACCTCCAAATGTTCACAGAATCATAGAGTTCCAGAATGGATGGGTTGGAAGGGACTTTAAATCTCTCATTCCAACCCCTGCCATGGGCAGGGACACTTTCCACTATCCCAGGCTGCTCCAGCCTGGCCTGGCACACTTCCAGGGACCCAGGGGCAGCCACAGCTTCTCTGGGAATTCCATCCCAGCTCCTCCCCACCCTCCCAGGGAGGGATTTGGGTTATAACATTTGGGTTTGGCTAAGAATATAAAACCATGGCCAGGATGGGTTTGTTAATTTTATTTTTTTTTTTTTTTCCAAAGTAAAAAATGCCTTCAAAGCTGTGGGATTTTATTCTTTCTGGTATTGGTGCTATAGAATGTGCTGAACTATTTGTATGGATGAAATGAATAAAATTATCCCAGATCAAAGAATTTGCTGCCAACTAAAAGCCTGGTGCTATAATTTTTTATTAAGTATAGATCTCTTTAGATTGGCCATGTGTTCACAAACAACACAGTGCTACATCCATATAAATTATAAATAAATATGTGTATATAGTGAGAGAGGTGTAACCCATGATTGAAGTGATACTGTGGCTGAATCCCTGATACCATCCACCTTTCCCTCTGAAAGGATTTCTAATTGAGTATTTAATTGTCCAAACAAATACAGAAAGTTTAAGGGAAATTCTTACATACAGGAAAAAGGGAGAACTTTCCCTTTTTTCTGTGTAAGCTGTTGCAGAGTTTCTCTGCAGAAAGCTCCAACCTGTATTGACATTTTCGTTTCCTTTTTTTCCCTTAATCCTGGCTGCTCTCAATTCCAGAGGAGAACAATGGGAGGGGAGTGAGTGCTGAGGGTATTTAAAACACAATCATGGGAAATGCTCCCATCACCACAGAGCCCTTTTCCTTCCCCTGGCAAATCCTCTGGCCGTGCTGCAGCCTCTGGATGCACGAGCCTGTTCCCTAAGGGAATACAACATGGAAAACTCTTGTATTGCAGTGGCAGCATCGGAAGGGCACAAGGGGACCCCATCCAAGGCCCCAGATCCACCTTCCTGGTGCATGCAGAAGGTGCTGCTGGGGGAGTTACACTGATTTAACACCTCAAAAGGTCAGAGATTTATTTTTAATTAATTATTTTTCCCAGGCTTCTTAAATCTAATGATCAACTGTCCATATTTGTAGTGATTGCAAGGTTTGAGAGGCAGCAGAGTAAATCTGGTGTAGGTATAAATTGCCTTTTTTTGGCAATTTATACCTCCTTGGAAGGGAGGGGAGTGACATTAATATTTCATGTGGTTGGGAGAGGAAATGCCTGGCAGTCCCAGGGGAAGAGTCACAGCACCTGTGCTGAGCTCACCCAGGTTTTTTGGCAGGAATGATCTGATTGCTCATCATGAATGGAACAGAAAACAATTCTGACACGAAGCAAGAGAAGCCTGGCTCAGGAGGTGCCATGGCTGCAATCAGAGAAGGTTTCAGTGAGCTGGAGAAGGTAACAGAAATAGCTTGTGTGTTAAAAGAAATGTGAGGGGGTACAAGATCAGTACCAAAAATTAAACCAAATTAATTCTTCCTCCTTTTATTTTTGCTGTGTTTCCATCTTTCCATTTACTGTGTTTCCTTTGCAAAGCAAGGAAGGGACAGGAGTTTAGGAGAGTCTGGTTCAGGTCAGTCTTGCTGATAAAGCAATTTGGGTTTCCCTGATCAATCTGTTTAATTAGCTAAAAATGCAGAATTGAAGAAGTTGTTGGATATTTTTGCATTTTTTTGCAGTTGGCTGCAGGAGACTTTTCTCAGACTGTTGGCTGCAGGTTGGGGGTGTCCAGCCTGGAGAAGAGAAAGTTCTGGGGAGATTTAACTGGGGCCTTCCAAGACCTAAAGGGAGCCTGAAAGAGCTGGAGAGGGACCTTGGAATGCCAGGACAAGGGGAAATGCATTTAAACTAAAGTGGGAGAAACTTAGATGGGATCTTGGTAAGGAATCCCTCCCTCTGAGGCAGTCCCAGGGGAGGGGCTGGGATGGAATTCCCAGAGCAGCTCTGGATGTTCTTGGATCCCTGGCAGTGCCCAAGGCCAGCTTGGATCAGCCTGGCATAGTGGAAGGTGTCCCTGCCCATGGCAGGGGTGGGGCTGGATGAGCTTTAAAGTCCTTCCATCCCAAAGCATTCCACGATTCCAACCCAAAGATAACCTGGTTATGGAGCCAGCAGTGTCTGGGGGCTAAAGCACCTTCCCAGCTGCCGATCAGAACAGGAATTTGACATCTTATCCCTGTTTCTTCTTGCTTATCCCTTAGCTGAGAGGTGATGGGAACAAACAGCAGGAGCATCCCCAAACCCTGGGAGTGGGACCCTTTGGGAGTGGGGTTGGGACCCTTTGGGAGTGGGACACTTTGGGAGTGGGGTTGGGACACTTTGGGAGTGGGACACTTTGGGAGTGGCACTTTCATAACCATTCTTGGCTTTGTGGCTTATCCTGAGCCAACAGAAGCAACAAGAAATTGTTACTTCAGGGCCAGCATTTGGTGCCAGCTCCGAGAAAAGCAGGATGGCTGTGGCAGGTATTAAACATCCCCAATAAATCCTGGAGGAGGATCCCAGGGTAACAATGCCTGCTTGCCAAATCTGTTTGCAGAGTGCACAAAGCAATGAGGAAAGCATTGCAACAGCACAAAGGTTTTCTGACAGATCCACCACAGGCTGCTGCGTCAGCAGAGCTGTGTGCTGGTGCTTTTCTTCCAGCCCCAAACTGGGATTGAGCCAGGCGCTGCATCCATGGGGATTGGGATGCTGTGGCTGTAGGATAACCCCCCAGCCGAGGCCCCCAGGGAGCCAGTTGTGCTATTTGGAACCCATTTATTTTCCCTCATTTCCTTGGAGATGTGTGTGGGAAGCAGTGATTCATCCAGGCCCTCTTCCCAGTCCTGTGGGATGTGTTTCTTTCCCATTTCCTGGAAACATTTGCTGTTTAGGGAAGGTTGCTTGGCCACGAGGAGCTGCTGGACACCATCCACAGCCACTATCAGGCATTTTCTGCTGGGTGGAACTCCCTGAAAATCCCAGCCCTTCAGCCTTGTAGGGAAATCACTTTTCCAGGGGAGCACACAGGGTGTGAGGCTGGCTCTGGGAAATATTCCCAGGGAAGAAAGGCTGGGAATGTGCTGACAGCAGCACTGCTCTTTCAGGTGTCAGTGTAAGAAGCTTATAAAAAGCTCCTTCTTGCTTGGTGAGCAGAAAGTGCAGGAAAATGGGCTGGGAATGTGTGGACTAGAAGCTGAAATGATGTTGGGACAGCTCAGGCTGGAGGCAGGAATGCTAAACAAATTCTAGACAAAAAAATGATATAAAGCTGATGAATTATGACCAATTTGCAGCGTGACTTTGGTGAAGTGACTTTGGAAAAGAAGGGTCTGGACTGCTGAGGATGCAGATTTGGGAGCCCTGGCTATGAGAGCTGTGATCTGGATTTTGGTTGTGGTGCCATCCCTCCTGCCCAGCACCACCAGAGCAGGGCTCAGATGTGCCTCGTCCCACCCCTTATCTCCAGCACATCTGCTGGCTCCAATTCCCTGCAAGAATCAGATTTTAAGGAGTTAGAAAAGCCCTCATCAGTTGTTTCCCCTCTTTTGGTGGGGATGTAAACTCAGAGAAGCCAAGCAAAACACCCCAGTGGTCACCAGGGCTCGGACAGAGCCCGAGGGGTGCATTCCCAAGGGAATGAGGAGTCTGTTCCCCAGCAGGCTGGGTGGAAATTGGATCCAGGGAATTCAGCTGCAGATCCTGGAGCCAAGGCCTGCCCCAAAGCACTTCTTGTTGGAGTGGAACATAAGAAGTGTGAGTTCATAGTTTGCCAGCAAACTCGAACAAGGAAGCAAACACTCCAGCTGCAGGATGGGATGTTCTTACTTGGCATGGCTCTCTAAAGCAGGATTTTTATCTGTTCCCTTTCCTGAGTTCAGTTTTCTCTCCCCATTTTCCATTCCCTATCACTTTCCAGAGCCTTGCCCTTGGCACTTGTTGTCAGATGTCAGATATTTGAACTTGGAGTTGCATTTTCTATGAATGCTTTGTGGTTGTGGAGCTCAAATTTCCAGAAAAAAAAGAAGAAAAAAAGGCAGCTGTATTTGCCTTCCAGATAAGAGAAAAAATAAACTTTATTTATTTTCTCTTCAATTTCTTCTAATCTGACTTCATCTTCTGGTTACCATGCAGAGATTGATGGAGTCCCCATCCCTGGAAGTGTTTAAAAATCCTGAGGATGTGGTGTAGTGCTGGGTTAACAGCTGGACTGATGGTCCTGGAGGTTTTTTCCAGCTTCAGGGATTCTGGGATGATTCTAAAAGGACAAAGAAGTTGTGGTTCAAAAGGGTTTCAGCTCCTCTGAGTGTTACCAAAACAGCTTCCACAGTAGATGTCCATGGCCAGGTCAGCATGGAGGGATTTCCTTCCCCATCCAAGGAGAAATTGGTTTATATGTGCAATAACAGTCATTTAAATATTAATATCATTGGGAATGTTATTCCCAATGGGAGCAGGGAGAGGTAAAATCCCATGTGGCCTTCCCATATCTCTGGGATCCATTCCTTGTGCTGGTAGTAAGGGGTGGGTGGAATTCAGGATTTGCCTAAATGGAAGAGGTAAATACAGAAAGAAACCAAGTTGTGAGGGAAAGGTTCTTCAAGCACAGCACAATTTCCACTAAAACAATCTGAGAGCTTGCTTTACTCATTTCCTTCTGCTCCAATAAGGTTATTTTCAAAGAATTTTGTTCTTTTCCTCCTTTTCAAGGAACATGTGGAGCCCAGGACCAGCTCTGAGGATTTGTCCTGCCTCGTGGGAAGAAGGTGAGTCCTGGAGGTCCCCTAAGAAATGACAAAATTTTCCAAAATTTTCCAATCTGGAATGACCTTTCCTTGAAACTCTGGCCTAGGGAAAATTCCCTTCACATTTCCTGAGTGGGGATGAGCTGGCTGTGGTGCCAGGAAAGGTGAGGGGAATGTTTCAGACACTCACCTGTAGGACTTGTATTTATTCACTTGTCATTTATGGGGAACAAGGTGAACCCACTTGTTTCCTTCTCTCAGGCCATGAATAATATTGAGGAAATTGTTTGCACTTAGAAACCACAAGACGGGGAGCTCAGGGATATAAAAATGCAAAGAATTGTAATCTGTGAGTGAAACTGGGAAATCAAGTGTTGAGCAAGGTGCTTCTAAAGGAAATTATATATTTTCAGAATTAGATCACAATGTTTTTTTTCTGTGCAAAATAATTTCTCATTCACTCTTTGAAAGAAATAAAAAAGAAAATTGCATTTCATCTCCCTCTCCAGCCTTTAACAAATACTTAGGCAGAACTTCTTATCCTCTAATTTGAATTATCAGTTTGTGAAATGTTTTTTCCTCCCTTCTCCAGCTTGTTTCCAGTTCTTTGCCTATAAAGAAATAATTATTCTCCCCCTTTCCCACCCTTTTCTCCTTTCCTTGAGCTTTTTGTAATTTTTTTCCCCATGGTATCACTTTTTTGGGTTATGAAGCAAAGTCCCATACTCTGAGACAGAGCTGGGTGGGTGGAGATGACTCAGGATTATTGGAATAATCGTGATTTTTCATTTTTGGTTTTATTTTAAACGATCTCAACCCAATGAGAATATTTAACATAACCACGTCAACTACAAAGACAGAATTTAATCGAATTTCCTTAGATCCAAGGCCTGGGAGAGCTGGTGAGAAGGAATTCCACAGAGGGGAGGAATTAATTTGAAAGTGAGGGATCAGGTGTACCAGCAAAGGAATTAAAGTTCAGGGAACAACGGGACCACTGAACCAAGCTGTTTGCTTGGAAAGTTCTCCGGGCTGCAGCAGAGAGAAGGAAAGAAATCCACCCCACCTTAGCCAGGTCTTGGAAAGTCTCCAGCAAAGTTCAGCCCCTGGAGGGCAGAGGAAATGCCTGAGGAGGAACTGCTGGATGTGCAGAAAATGCTCAGCCTCGGGCAGGGGGAAATCAGGAGCCTGACAGGAGATCTGCCTTTGGAATGAAGGAGCAGAGGGAGAGAACTCAGAGCTGAGAGGGGACGGCAGGAGGCTGGAATGAGGAGGTGCTGCCGGATCCTTGGAGTGCCAGGTGCTGGGAGCAGCCCTGGCTTTGGGAACAGGATGATTTCTGTGCTTACAGGGGGATGGATGTACAAGGGGATGCTGCAGCCCTGCCACGGAGCCAGGGGGAAGCAGTTCCCTGTCCCATCCATTTCTGGCCTTCCATCACTCCCGTTCCCAGAGGATGAGGAGCCCTGGTGACAATGAGCTCTCTTGGCCTTCAGCCAGAGGAGGGAAGCAGAGCCCTTGTCCAGGGTGGGAACTTCCTTCATTCCCAGGGCACTGAGGCTGGGTGGCACCAACCTCCAGCACCTGATTCAGGATCAAAGCTTCCTCCTGAAATTCCAGGGTTAGCCATGAAATCCTTCATGTCCATCCCGCTGGACGAAACAGGAGAGTTTTATGAAGTTTAAATGTTTTGAGAATGCATCTTTTCAAAGATGATCTCTCCAAGAAATGCTTTGCTTCAGTGGCTCCCAGGCAGCCGTAGTTGTTCAGTATTTCCACCAAATCATCTGGGGATTTTTAAAACTTAGCACTGTTAAGATCCACCAGGAATTTGTGTATCCTGAGGAAAACAGGGACAAAGTTGTGCATGGAGCCAGGTTCAAGTGTTACCTAGAAATTCAGTTCTAGTCCCCACAGCCTGAAGCTCTGAAATCCCAGAATCCCAGACTGGTTTGGGTGGGAAGGGACCGTAAAATCACCTCATACCACACCTTCCACTGAACCAGGCTGCTCCAGGCCCTGGCCAGCCTGGCCTGGAACATCCAAAAAGTCCTCCTGAAAGTCCTGGCTTGGCTGAGAAGCTGCACATCATTAATGTGCAAAACACTCTCCTGGGAGGTGATTTCACTCCATTACCTGAGCTGGCTGTTGGAGAAGGAGCCTTGGGAAGAGCTGTGAATTTCAGGAAGGATGCAGAACAACATTTAACAGTGTGGAACAAGGAGCCACAAACACACCCCGCTCAGTGCTCGTGTGACTCAGCAGAGGCAGGAGCTGTTTGCTTTGGCACAGGGTCCCTCCCAGCCACAGGAGCTTCCTCAGGCCAGGATCTTTGCTCTCAGAGAGATTTATGGGGCAGAAAAGCTTCCTCAGCCTCTTCCCAGCACTTTGAAGAAATCACATTTGAAGAAATCACACTCATCTTGGGATGCTGCAGAAACTCCCAATAACATTTGAGTGAGACAGAGGTTTGTAATCACCCATTCCTCAGCACGTGGAGTGATTAAAAACTGTTTGTGTGCCTGTATCACTGTATGTGATCTGTATGACAGATCCTTCATCCCTTGGGAGGAAACCATGAGATTTTTCCTTCAGAAGATGGACAATGGGGAAATGATGGTGGAGTCAGTTTAACCATGTGAAATACAGCTCCTGCTTCGTTGCAGTGTTGAAGCACCTTCCCAAAGCCAGCAATAACGCTGAGGAGCTGAACCCTGAAACTCATCCTCGTTTCCTGGGAATATTTACTGTCCTGAGTGCTCCCTGCACCTGATGGATGCGGGCAGTGCAAGGAGGGGAGGCCACAGGCAGAAGGATTTTATGGCCCCTATAAAGTCCTGTACACAGCTTTTCCTCCATCTGCTGCTGTTAAACACAGCATTTGGGATCATGTGGCACTGTAAGTGCTCTGATTTATGGGGAGGCAGCATCTGTAGTAAACATGCTAAAGCCTGAGTTTTAGAGCAATCCACTGTATTTATCTTGGACATAAACACTTCCTTGGCTGAACCCACAGGAAGATCACAGCCGCGAGCCTCAGGCACAGCAAGGTCATAGCCAAGGTGTGAAGGTGGAAGTGATGGGGGAGAAAGGCAAATATTGGGAATTATCAAGGGGAAAACTTGTCTTTTTCACCTGTTAAATATTCTGGATACATGGCTGGAATTTCTTACACTCTAATAATTACTCTGATGTTACACAGAACAAGAGAAATACAAACCCAGGCTCGATTTAGCTTTGCTTTCCAAAGTTATCCATTCTAGCTGTGGATAGGAATGGTCTCCCTGGAATTAGGAAACTCCAAGTGGCTCTGCGAAGTCAATTATCTTTGAGCTCCCTCAAGTGGCAATAAAATCTTGGAATTTATTACTGGAATCCTCAAGTTTGTCACTGGAATCCTCGTGTTTTTTACAAACCCCCTTGAGTTTGTCACTAAATCCTCGAGTTTGTCACTGGAATCCTCAAGTTTGTCACTGGAATCCTTGAGTTTTTTACAAACCCCCTTGAGTTTGTCACTAAATCCTCGAGTTTTTTACAAAAGCCCTTGAGTTTGTCACTGTAACTCTCAGATTTTTTACAAAAACACCAGTTTGTCACTGAAATCCCTGAGTTTGTCACTGAAACTCTCCAATTTGTTGCACAACTGCTTTTCCACCGAAGCCTTGTAATTTAAGACCATGTTTTTCACAGGCACTGTAGTAAACTGAGATGCTCGGGTTTCAAGGAATCTAAACAAGTTCAGAGCACTTGAACATGATTCATTTAATAACACATTTCTCTTTTGGCAGGTCTCTGAAAAGACATGTACCAAGTGCAATGAAGCGTTTCACATCCAAGAGGGGTTTGCAGCTGATTCACAACACGATACCTGCATGTTTTGAGGAGTTGTTTTGACTTTCTTTTACGGTTCCTTAGCAAATTCATGACAGAGCAGCTGGAATGTCTTGTTCAGCATCTGGTAAAACTCAGCCCTTTGCTTTCTACACCTTGAAAAGGGAAATAAACGGTTACATTTCCCTGGATGCTTATTGTGGGCTGGTGGCAGCCTGGCCTGCAAACACACATTTACATTTACACTTACACTTACATTTACTCTTACATTTACATTTACATTTACTCTTACACTTCCATTTACACTTCCATTTACACTTCCATTTACAATTACGCTTACATTTACACTTCCATTTGCACTTACATTTACTCTTACACTTAGGTTTGCATTTACAGTTTCTATATTTATTTGATATTCCTGTTTCCCAGGGCCCCCCGCCAGGCCTCAGGGGGCGCTGCCATGGCAACGGGGTCACGTGCCGGGGGGGTCGCCACGCGGGGAGGGTCACGTGTCTGACGGTCACGTGTGGGGAGGGTCACGTGTGGATGATCACGTGTGGCGGGTCACGTGGCAGGCGCTCACGTG